CCCCAAAACCCCAAAACCCCAAAACCCCAAAACCCCTGATCAACCCCCAAAGATTGAAATAACTAGTTCTATAGTAATCGTACCTTACTAGAAAGATTTAAAGAGGCAGAGAAGAGTTAAAAGCACATTTAAGTTCAGCCAAAAAATGAAAGAGAAGAATGGTAGAATTCTTTTTAAAGGTTATCATTTGACATTCTCAAAGCCGTTCTCATCAAGGATTTCCCTTACTTTGTCTCTTTGAATTTCATCATTACATGTGTATATCGTTGAAAGACTTTTCCTTAGATCTGGTGATGTAGCTAATCCTTGGACTAAATTTACGAACTCTTGGGGGTTAGCATCCCAACTGTAATTTTCAGCATCTATTTGATGATTAAAGCTGAATGTTTGAATTTTCGTATTCTTCAATGAATTAGTAAAATTTGGGATTCCAGAGACTGTGATTTTACAATTGTCAAGATATATCGCAATAACATGGCTGTAAGCCGCTATAACTCTTTTTAGCTGTCTGAAGCTAATCCGAAACCCAATTAATGCCAAATGTTGGTCAACCTGATGATGTCTCTTCATAATTTCATTAAAATAATGACAAATATTCAATGTAAAGTCATAACAAGCAGACATTCAAATAGAATTTACTCTTTTAGGAAAAGAAGAATATAAAGAGTATATAGCTTTTCTCTCAGTTCCTCTTAGTTCTTCTCAAATAACTCTTCCAAAGTAAAAGCATCTTGTGAAATGTATTTTATTTATAAAATTTAACAGTAAGATAACTTTTAAAAGTGAAGTCAATCTCTTCTATTTCGTCTGTGTCCAAGCATGACTCTGATTCTTCTACTGTCAATTCATTTTTAAGAAAATTAAACCAAAGAGCTTTTTCAAGTATTTTGTCTATTTCTTTGGTATCACAGTTAACTGATTTCTCCAAACTATATTTTAAGATAAAGAATATGAAAAAGATGCTTTAAAATCAAAGCTTGTTTTTATTTTTAGTTCAGGATTCATTATTATTACAGCCAACATCTAAAATTCTAAGAATAAAAATTACTCAAACTATGATTCTTCAAAATAACATCCTATGCCCTACAAAACTACTTCAAAATTACCCAAAACCCTGCCTTGAGCCTATTAACATCAGCCCAGTTACCCTCAGCATTCCTTAACCTATTTTCCACTTACCTTCCTAAACCCATTTTTCTTCTATCAATAAGAGTCTCTTCCATCCCCCCTATTTAACAAATTAAAAATAATTTTATACACATTGGGGTTTTGGGGTTTTGGGGTTTTGGGG